CACACACACACACACACATTCACACACACACACTCACACACACACACACACACACAAACTCACTCACTCACTCACTCACTCATTCACTCACTCGCTCATTCACTCATTCACACTTACATACAAACACACACAAACGTACTTAGATTTTAGAATACTATATCACTATACATGTATTAGCTTTCTTTGGAAGCTTTTAGTCAACGGAAAATGCCATTTTAAAGCCCTTGAACACGAGCATGCAAACATGGAGAGACAAAATCTTTCTCTGTCATAGCCAGTTACCCAATCCTACTTGGCTTTCGTAAAGAAAGTATGTTATGAAGTGGCTTAACCAAAGACACAACTTCGAACCCAGATCGAGATTCAAACCCGTGACCTAAAAGATGCGAGCCTGACAGCCTTATCACCAGAAGGTCAAAAGGAAGAATACGTGCTGTTTTTTAGTTTTAGTAGAGGTTTTTTCTGCGCTCACAACTGCATAAGGTCATATGAGCGCCAGGAGATTAGAGCTGGTGTTACAAAAGAGTAACAACAAACATTAAAAAGAAGAAGGGGGACATAAGGACGACAGATGTTTGATAGGAAAGAAGGAGCAAACCACACAAGAGCACCCGCCAACCACTCAAGAAAAAAGTATGAAGTGTCTTAACCAAAGACACAACGTTGGACCCAGATTGGGACTCGAACCCGTGACCTAAAAGATGTGAACCTGACAGCGTTATCACCCGTAGGCCAAAAGGAGGAATACGTTCTGTGAAGCTCTAATCGCCATGGTTGGAGGAGACAGCGGAGCCTGTTTTGTTGTAATGTGACAAAGGGGATCGCATTGACATGACGACAAGCGTAGAGTGCTGGTGGAAGGCAAGGTAAACCTAACAACTAGGAAGGAAAGAAAACAACAGTTATGTTTTATAATTTTTTTTAAATTATTGCGAATTATACCCAACTGGGCTTTAAGACACCAAACTTCAACATACAGTAACATGCTTTATTAAAGGGAGAAAAACGACATGGTCTATGTAAAAGATGAAAGAAGAAAAGTGCACATGTATATTCCAGTGAAAGATACATAATATAATGCGAGCGAGTATGAGTATGAGATACCAAACTTTAAAACTAAAATTTCTCAAAAACACGAAAATATGACTTACATTTTTTCACTGTTAGGTTATCACGTAGAGACACTTCATGATCAGTTTTGTATCAACATACCACTAATGCCCCTTTCAACACTCTCAGGATAAAGCGTTTAGGCGTTATAAAAGGTGCGACCAATGTGACCGAACCGAGTGGGTGGAAAGCCTCGAATGCTCCCTAAAAACTGAAGTTCAAGAATACCCTGTTGAGAATTCGAACCGCGTCTTCCACACACAAGTAAAAAATGATACCGACTGAGAAAATGAAAAGACTAGACTTCAGAAAGATAATAAAGTAGTAGGACCAGTTACCCACCAATAGCCCCCCCCCCCCCCTTTCCACTCACAAAAGAAAACTGAAAGACCAACATAGCAATACGTTCATTGTCTTAGGTACGTTGCCATGAACGTCTACGGGCCTGAGAGTAGTGGGAGTCGTTTCATCCTTTCTGAAGGCACCGAGACACTGTACGTGTTCTCTTGGAATGCCAAAGATCTACCTCCACTTTTTGCGAGAACTGAGTTACACAGAGGGAGGAGTAGGCCCCCAGAGCAACCTACTTAGAGAACCTAAACAGATGGGTAACGGGAAAAGTTCAGGGTAACGTAGCTTTCTCGTACGAGCAAAGGAATGAGTGGAGAACCATGATCGCCGATGTCTGCCGCAGATCTGGCACTTGATGATGATGATGATGATGATGATGATGATGATGATGATGATGATGATGATGACGATGATTTACACAATACACATTGCTGACACGGATTCTCTGCTCACTGAGTCAAAGGTTTGAGACAATCTGGCCCTTTTTTTTACAGATATAAAATAGTTTAGTTGTAAGAGTGTGAGTCTGAACCCAATTTACTTAAAATTGCGTTATAATTATAGAGCCTAAATCTTGTTGATCTACGGACGCGACTTGATTATAAAGCAGCTGACATGCATTTGAGCCTATTGCCATACCCAAGTTATTAGCTTTATGTTTATTATCCCCTTCCAATCGGTCTTTAAATTGGTCGCTGTTAAAAGCACAAGGGGGCTATCCCGAAAAATGTTGTTTTGAGAAAATCGAAGGTAAAGTGTTTGCCCCTGTTCAGTTTCTTTAAAAAAACAAGGAGAGTTTTCTCTATAACCAAACAAATATACACACCAATGAAACCAAACTTCTCCTATAGGCAGGACAATGTCCACTTTTGGTGTAGGTCAAGATTTCTGGAAACCCCCGAAATCTGGTTTAGCCCATTTGTCCTTAAAAGCGACCAATTAAAGGTACTGCCTATTGAATGACAATAACATGATTAGTAACATAAAAGATGTTGTATTGACTGAAGCTTAAAAATGCGCACTCCAAGATCCCCATGTTCAGTACACCGCAGAATAAGACAGTATTCGCATCCTATTCTTCCTTTTTATTTTCTGGGGAAATTCAACTGCCGAGCTGTTCCTCGACAAGTCGGAAAGTGTAATTTATGCATGAAAGCAATTTATTCAAAAAACGTCACATATTTGTTTCTGATATAATAGGTAGGCTATATTTGCCTGTGGCATACGGCCTAGGAAAAATAAAATAGAGGGCAATTACATGCAAATACAGTATAAATAAGCCGCTGATCTGACATGGGCGAAGAACTTCACCAAAAACTCCATGAAACAGTGTTCAGTCCAGGATTATTTACGGCAGCTCTTATGTAGCTTCAGATGAAAGCTGAGCAGAACCAAGTAGTAGGCCTGATTATTCAAGACTTACCCAAGCCGTGAAGAAGAAAATCCAAATCTATGGAAAGATTGAGAAGACTGGCAAGAGATGGATAAGAAAACACACACACACACAAACAAACACACACACACACACACACACACACACACACACACACACACACACACACACTCACACACGTGTGTGTGTGTATGTGAGAGATTCTTTGATCAGGTACGCAAAGGCCAATAATAATTTCTCACCAAAAGCTTGTTTATAAAGATAACAAGAAAGTAATGTAGTAAAATTATTGGCAGATGGAGAGAGAGAGATCGGAGAGAGAGAGCGAGCGAGCGAGAGAGAGAGAGAGAGAGAGAGAGAGAGAGAGAAAGAGAAAGAGACAGCCAGACAGCCAGACAGCCAGCCAGACAGACAGCCAGCCAGACAGACAGCCAGCCAGCCAGACAGACAGACAGACAGATAGACAGACAGACAGACAGACAGACAGACAGACAGACAGACAGACAGACAGACAGGACATCAAATTATAGTTTCTTTCACAGTAATAAAAACTTTAGGGAATGCGTTTGTTTGAATTGCCCTCCGTTATAGCAAGGGCAAATTAATACAATACATGGCTTGACTTTGGGGAGCTGTTTGATAGGAAATTATGATAATTGGGCATTCCTAGCGGCGGAGGTAACAAGGACAGGCATGAGAATTTATGGAGTCGCAGCATATGCAGCTGTTTTCCTTTGGCTTTTTAAAAAATTATATATTTTCATTCCATCCATGTCTGAATGAGGCCCAAATGGGATTTAGAAAGGGGAGAGGATGTAATATTTGCCCTACGACAAATATGCAAAAGGGCAATAGAACACAACAGGGAACTAAACATGGTAATTGTCGTCCAGGAGAAAGCGTTCGGCAGAGTGAACAGAAACAAGCCGTGGAAAAAAACCCTCGAAAAACCACACTGTAAGAGGCCAACTTCTAGATAACATCTGTGCCATTTATGAGAACAGCATATTAAGTTCAGTAAGAACGTCGGAGGGACTCGCAGAAGGGTTCGAGATAACATCCGGAGTAAGACATGGTTGTTTCCTATCACCACTGCTACTATTTATCATATTATTATGTATTGATAGAATTACAAAAGAGGCCAACAGAGAACCAGACGCCCTAAATGAATTACTTCACCAGATTAAACGAAAAAAATAACATGACGATCAACATCAACAAAACAGAGACAATGAAAGTACCCGGTAAGCAGAAGCCAGGACCTCTCAGGATACACATCAACAACAGTCTCAGAGTGAGAGACAGACAGACAGACAGACAGACAGACGGACAGACAGAGAGGTCTGACAACTATAGCATAATAAATTAATGTAGGTGTGTAACTATTAAAGTGGCTGTCTCTTTATTTGTGTCCGTGGAGATGTTTGAATGAGATAAAAAGGAATGTGATCTGGTGCATGCCGGTGGGATTTTTATTTTAAAGTTCGTACCAATTTTAACAACCATTACAATACATGCAGACAACATATAGAGTCGAAAACAAAAACAATAACAGCAGCAGCAGTAGCAGCAGCAACAACAACAACAACAACAACAACAACAACAAACGGTTTCGCTAAGACAGAAAAAAATTTATTATAAAGCGCAGACAAATTGGCTACTGAGTCTGAGAGCACGCACCGCCAGCGGAGTTCGTATATTTTTTTTTTTCGAGAGTGTTTTACGGCGCTCGCAACTGCATACGGTCATAATTATGAGCGCGCAGGACTCATTAAACTTTTTCAGTGGGTAGGAACATTTGAATTTTGCCTGGGTGGCTGCCGTAGCCTACTCTTATCGATTTTAGACCACCAAGGGATCTTTAACGAGCGCAGCTTGCATACGGGCCCTCCTAGATTGTTCGCCCTTGTCCGAGAGGGCTAGGTCTAGATCTTCCCTATCAAAAGATCAGGGGTGCGGCTGAAAGACAGCAGTAAGAATGAGCCAATGTATGCAGTAGAAAGACTGCAAAAAGAGTCAGGAGCCCAGAGGAGGGGTAGGGGCAAAGGAGGCGAGGTGAGGAGGTGGGGGGCAGAAAGTGGAGACGAAAGCAGATGACAGCACAGCTAGAGAGCAGGAATGGAGGTGAAAGGAGACAAGTTTAGCGAAGAAAATGCTTCGGTCCTGACCAGATTCGAACCCTGGTCCTTTTGAATGAGAGGCCAACACCTTAAGTTAACTTCTAGGCCACGAGGGCCCCCGTTCGTATATGAGTTGGTGAGTGCATAAGAAGTCTTTTAGTAGGCTATACGTAGTAGGTCTATAATGATATAAAAATTGGTTTAAATAACTTGAAAACGAAAGAGAAACCAAATCTGCGAAGAGACGAATTGAATCCGGCATCCTAAATGATCTAAATTGTGTGTATGAGGGTGTGAAAAACACTTACTTTTATTTTTTATATAAAACTTTTATTTCAAAGGGGAAAAGGAAAAAGAAAAGAGCAACCTCCGTTCAACCCACGTTTCTGTTGTTTGTTTTTTTTATTTGTTGTTGTTGTTGTTTTTTTTTGTTGTTTTGTTTTGTTTTGTTTTGTGTTTTTTTTTTTGGGGGGGGGGGGTTTGCTTTTCTCGTTTTTCACTATTCTGGTGTTCTGCGATATGTCATGCCTGTGCGTATCATCTCCTAAAGTCAATATTGTCGAACATTTTAGAGCAATTGAGCCTTATGAGATATTATGCATTTGTAATTAAATATATTAGATACTTTTTTTAAAAGACCAACAAAGTAGCACGGTACCATAGAGTTACCCCCTATAGTGTACATCTATGCACGGTACACAGTAGTACACACACAACAAAAAAGGCTTTTATAATAGGCTAATATTCAATATAAGCTTCTTTTTTTTAACAAAAAAAGATAAATAATGTAATTAATATA